ATAAATATTTTTTTTTACTTTTTTTGTTTAGCCAGTTTCATCATAATTATCATTAATGAGCCTGTGCAAAACAAACTCACTGACAAATGTCCTTTTGTTTTCCTGTAATAATTTTCTGAAAAATAAATTGAATACAGTGCTCATATATGCATTTAATGTGTCTAATAAATGAATCCACTTTTTATTATTTTGAGACAAACTGAAGCTGTGCCATCTCTCTAACACTTGGACTTTTTGTGTTTATATTTGTCCAGGATCACATTTTGCCACCTGCCCTTTCAGAGTAAATGGCTGTATGTGGGGACAGAGCGTGGGAACACACACATTGTCAACATCGAGTCCTTTATTTTGTCTGGATATGTCATCATGTGGAACAAGGCCATCGAACTGTGAGTATTTACTGCTAGTGCCTCCACCTAACAGAAAGACTGATCCCTGGATAGTTGTGAAGACTTTTATTTTGGGAGATGAAGTCTGTCGTCATAATTTTTTTAGTTTATAAATGGGAAGCATGGGATAGATGTTCTGATTTTATATTAAGTCTTATAATATTTTAAAATATAACATTAGGACAACAAAAGTGCTTAGTGTGTCAATACTTTTGATGTCTAAATCCAGATGATGTCACTGATGATTTGTCATTTTGAATATAAATACATCATTTGTGCATGTTTGTAATAAAAAAAGCAATTTCTGTTTGCTATAGGTGCAAACGTGTTTATGAGGATGTGTGTTGCGGTAATAACTAATATTTGCCTCTGTCTGTTGCTTTTCCATCAGTGACAACCACAAAAACACAGAAATATAAACATTGCATAAACTCTATTATTTCTAAAGCCTGACAATAATAGATAGGAAAATTATTTTTCAAATAGTTCCCACAATCTGCATGATATATTTCAGGATTTATTCGGTTTGACATATACGTTTGTTTGAACGTCTGACTGTGTAGACCAGAAAAAACAAACAYGCTGCAGAGTGACGACTGAAAACACAACCACGTACACAGCTGGCACTCAGTTGCATTGTATGCCCACTTTTCTTGCCTTCTCCCACCAACATGCCACTCTCCTGGCATAACCCTGACAAGTCCCTGACTGTTGTGTCAGTCATAAGTCACTCTTTTACCAGTCTTGTTGTCTTGTGTCAGCCCAAACCAAAGTGAACAGTCTTAACACTGATGCTTGTGTGTGGGAGGCCTGGCTGCCAATCTGTACAAAGGTCTGAGAGGCTGAGGCGACAAATAAGCAAATATGCGTTTGGTGAACTGTTGTACAACCCAGCATGTCTGTCTTTTGTGCATTGTTCATCTATCTATCAAATGTTACAAACTGGAAAGTTGTTATTGGACAATATGACTTGAAAGAAATTTTCAACATTTTTCTCAGTAAATATATTACTAGAGGTGCTAAGGACATGAAATTTTCACCAGATGTCGGTAACAACCCAAGTGATCCATACATACAAAGAAATCAAACCATAAATGTCCAGAAATTAAGTTACTTGTAATAATGTGGAATGGCACAGGGAAAAAGTATTGAAAAAGTATTGAACACACTTACTGAAATTTATCTAATACTTTGTACAAAAGCCTTTGTTGTCAATGACAGCTGCCTGTTGGGGTTCGGGGCCTCTGGGCCTGTTGGGCTTTGGCCCGGAGGGGGTGCGCCCTGGGGGCCCAGACCTCTGTGCCC